AAAAAAGTTCACAAGCCAAGAACAAATGACTTGTCAGCTGACTAAGGACTTTTCCATTGTAGCTGTAAATAAATCCCCAAAATAAATAGCTCTAAGTATTCGACATTGGATGCTAACCATATGTTTTGGTGGACTCATCTAGCTGAAGGCGCTCGGTCAGGCATCCACACCAGATCACGTGTGGCAACGCCGTGCTCAACATCAACCGCAATCGCTAGCCAGATTAGATCAGAGAATTCCGATATATTGGTAATCGCCAAATACACTCTTCTGATCTCCTCGACTCTGTCCTTTGATTTCTCTCGGTGGGAACGAATCATGTTAGAAGGTGTTACTGGTAGAAGCGTTGTCTAACAATGAATGCCTGTGTCACATCTTCATTGGTGAGACCGACGTGATCTGGTACACCTAATTGCAACTGTGAGTCTGTTCCTTTTTGGGATTTTTATATATCATTGCCTTATTTTTTAAACATTGTGATATTTTTCGTGTTTTTTCTTGGATATATATATTTTTTCCCCTCGTTCATTATCGTACTTCATATTTCATCAAGACTGAACAGACACCTAAAGTAATCAAGCTTAAGACTTTGCCCCCGCCTTCGTTTCAACTGATGCCTTTCTGGCCCGACAACATCGAAGCCTGGTTTTGCTATGCAGAAGCCGACTTCTCCGAGCACGGCGTGATCGACACACGTGCACAATTCCTCGCAGTAGTCAAGGCTCTACCGCGCGAATTCAACAGGTACATAACACCTAGTATGTTTACTAGTGATGTTTCCGAACCTTACGAAAACTTAAAACGCTCTATTCTTAAACGAGGAGACCTAACCGATCGACAAAGGTTAGATCAACTCTTCAATAACATCGACCTGCAACACGGTTCTGCGACGAACATGTTGCAACGGATGAGAGAGGTAATAGGCCCACGAACTTTCGACGAAAGTCTATTCAAACAACTCTTCTTGTCAAAACTTCCTCAACAGGTGCAAGGAGTTGTGGTCTCGTTCTAGAACAACGCCTTAGACGAGCTAGCTGCATCTGCCGACCGCATTTTAGAAATTACGAAATCTACTACCGAGGTATTTTCAGTCAAAGAAAAACCTCAAACGACTCAGAATGATATAAACGACTTATGTCACACACTCACGCGTTATCTTAGTCTTCGTACCGACCGTAAGAGATCGCGCACCCCACGTAGAAGCATTTCACGTAAGCGATCTGTCTCTAGACCGCGAGAGACGGATGACCCCGACCGGTGCTGGCATCATAACCAGTATGGAAAGTTTTCCAGAAATTGCAGAAAACCCTGTAATTTTCCCAACACGAAGCCGAGTGACTCGAGAAACAACTCGAGAAACTTCCTAGCCGGCACGCGTTAACGGCAACCGTAGCCGCCGAACATAGCCGTCTGTTATACGTCACAGATCTGACAACGAGAGTTCGCTACCTCGTCGACACTGGCGCAGAAGTTAGCGTTCTCCCAGCGAATTCCAACGATCGGCTTCAAAAATCGGCTCTAAACTTACAAGCGGCAAACGGAAAACCGATCGCTACGTATGGCAAAAGGTACGTTTACCTTAACGTGGGTTTACGCAAACCCATTCACTGGATTTTCGTTGTTGCAGATGTTTCTATGCCAATCATTGATATGGATTTTCTACAACACCATAATCTGATCATCGATACGCGCAAACGGAGGCTAGTAGACGGAAACACTAATTTATCCGTTTGCGTAACTTCCTTTTCTGGTTGCAGATTATCCCCAGTCACAGGTAAGCATATGATAGACCCACTTTATCAGCCACTACTCGATAAGTACGCTGGGATACAACAAACTCAACCGAAACTACCGTGTGTAACCAGCAATGTTACACATCACATCACGACTACAGGATCACCTGAATTTTAACGGCCTGGTAAGTTTCTATAGACGTTTCATACCGAAATGCGCATTACTTATGAAACTCTGACCGACCAAATTCGTGGAAATGCGAAATCCATTAATTTGGACGACACCGCACGAAAAGCATTCTCCACAGTTAAGGAACTGATCGCTAAAGCAACAATGCTCGCACATCAGGACACCGAAGCACCCATTATTATCGCAGTAGACGCATCGGACTCGGCATTCGGAGGCGTCTTACAACAATGGGTTAACAACTCCTGGCAGCCCTTGGCATTTTTCTCTAGAAGATTGCTAGACGCCGAATCGAGGTACAGCACATTCGGTAGAGAACTCCTGGCTATGTATTGTGCTGTACGGCATTTCCAACACTATATCGAAGGCCGTGAATTCACTCTTTTCACGGACCACAAACCGCTCACTTTCTCATTAAGCTCTCCTTCTGACAAGTACTCTCCCCGTGAGTCCCGACAACTGGACTACATTTTGCAGTTTTCTTCAGATATTCAACACAGCTCTGGAGCAAACAATTTAGTTGCAGACGCCTTATTTTGCATAACTTCCTTGAACAGTTCCCAAGGAATCGACCTCCTGAAACTCGCCGAGCTTCAAAAAGAAGACAGTGATCTTCAGCACGAGTTATCGTCCACAACCCTCAAACTACGCATCAAACAGATGGGAACAGGTAAGGAAACCTTACTTTGTGACACATCTACAGGTAGGGATCACCCAATCGTTCCGAAACATTATCGACGCAATGTCTTCAATACATTGCACAAACTTTCTCATCCAGGTGTTCGTGCAACCATCAAGCTTATAGCAGAACGGTTTTGCTGGCCTGGAATGAATAAAGACGTGAGGGAGTGGGCACGCTCCAGTGTAAGCTGCCAAAAATCTAAGGTTATCAGACACAATAAATGTTTCTTAGGCTCGTTTAAAACTCCCGATGCTCGTTTCGACCATGTTCATCTGGATTTGGTAGGACCTTTACCAGATTCAAATGGATACTCTTACCTCTTAACCTGCGTAGACCGTTTCACTCGATGGCCAGAAGCAGTACCTATCAAGGACATCACTGCTGAAACAGTGACCCGCACCTTCGTCGAACGATGGGTAGCAAACTTCGGCTGCTCTTCAACCATCACTACAGACCGCGGACGTCAGTTTGAATCTGATCTTTTCCGTCGTCTGACCACACTTTTAGGAATCACTCGCTTCCGAACGACGGCCTACCACCCACAAGCAAACGGGTTGGTAGAACGTTTTCACCGACAACTAAAAGCTTCACTATCAGCTGCAAATGTTTCACAGTGGACGGACTCTTTTTCACTCGTCTTACTAGGTATCCGCAATGCAGTGAAAGCTGACATTGGATACACTGCGTCTCAACTCGTTCATGGAACGACACTTCGACTTGCAGGAGAGTTCGTGAATCCTTCGTCCTTTTCAATGAACATGGATCTAACCTCCTGCACAAACAGGCTTACAAACGCAATGCGTTCAGTTAAACCTGCTTCCACTCAACCACAATCAACCGATGTTTTCGTTCAACCTGACTTACGATATAGTACACACGTTTTCGTTCGTCGAGACTCGCATCGACGACCATTCAAATCAGCATACGAAGGACCCTTCAAAGTTCTTCAACGTGAATCTAAGTACTATATAGTCGATAAGAACGGAAGAAACGATAGCATCAGCATCGATCGCTTAAAAGCAGCGTATTTAGAAGAAAATCCTATTCACGTCGATTTTCCTTCGTTACAATCGAACGACACGACTCCTACACTCAATTCCCCAACCGACAACCAACACTAGCGATGATACTCCGAATGTATCTGGAAATAAACCTAAAACAAAAAACAAAAAAAATATTTTTAACGCTATTACGTGTGCACGAGTTTATTTACCATTTTTTGCGCCGACATTGTGTTTTTACGCACATACGAGTGTATTTCGACATGCACTTACACTTTCTTTTTTTTCCAGGACGGCTGGAAAAGAACGATGGAGTTTACGAGGAGCCGAAGTTTTGATTGTACTTTTTCTTTTTTTACTATGTTGTACCTCGGTCCCATATAGTAAGGAAAGACGATCAGACGCTGCTACACTTAGTAAGCTATCAGAAGAGTGTTCGCCAATGAGAAACTCGTTGGCTTTAAACTTCTGTCTGGCCACGTCTTAGGGTCGTCACTGCCCCACTAGGTGGGGGAGTGATCTGTAGCTGTAAATAAATCCCCAAAATAAATAGCTCTAAGTATTCGACATTGGATGCTAACCATATGTTTTGGTGGACTCATCTAGCTGAAGGCGCTCGGTCAGGCATCCACACCAGATCACGTGTGGCAACGCCGTGCTCAACATCAACCGCAATCGCTAGCCAGATTAGATCAGAGAATTCCGATATATTGGTAATCGCCAAATACACTCTTCTGATCTCCTCGACTCTGTCCTTTGATTTCTCTCGGTGGGAACGAATCATGTTAGAAGGTGTTACTGGTAGAAGCGTTGTCTAACAATGAATACCCGTGTCACATCCTTCACCATCGAATGATCAACGAGTGAAATTCATTACCTCGGCACGTGGTTAATGCTCCATCAATCGACTCTTTCAAAATAAAGTTGAATTAACTGAGAGACCGTCATTACGAGGACTACCACAGGTGACCAAGCCTCCTGTCCTTTCCAAACTGAAACTGAAACTGCTCTGTCCTATCGCAGATCAAGAGTTTATCTTATTTTGATGTGTTGAATACCAAGAAATGATTTGGGACCTGATATATCCCCTCTTTTTCTTCCCACTAAATCGGTACATCACAGAGAACATAGCAGGCGAGTAGAAAAGCCTAGAGCGAATAAAATACCCGTGACATACTGGTCATCAATTCTTGGAACCTGTTGCCCAAAGCAGTGGTGTCTTCATATACAGTTGACTCATTCAGAAAAGATTAGGCACTCACAGAGGTATAATAAAAAGAATAACAAAGGCTGTAGGCCTTCTGTCTTTACTATACAAATCTGATTCTGAATCATTGGACCATAAATTGTACAATGGCATTGAATGTTGATTGTCCTTGCTAAGTATTTATGTGCCTCCGGTTGAAAATTTTCTCCGTTACTGCCTATGTACATTTGCTAAGGTATATTTAGGTCGAAATAGTCAGTGATTCCCGCCGTTAGTTACATTTAATTTTTAACCCCTCTCTGTGAAGTTATGATTTGAGTTATATCTTGTCTAAATCCTATTATCAACTAGAACTATCTGACCAAATTGGGTTTTAGTGATAAGCTTTAAGTCAACATATTTCTAGTAAAAAACGTGAAAAAAAGGCTGGACAGTGCTAGAGGACAAATTTATTTATGGGGTTTGGGAATTGTCTTGGCGTTTTAATCGTTTATACGTGTTTGTGCTTTAATCAGTTCTTATTCTCCCCTGTTTGGATGTCTGTGGTTGGTTTTAGACATCCAGATCATTGTGACTACTTAATATGCGTTAATCTAACTTCCCATTATTTTTGACGTCATAATTTTCACTCATTGGCTGGCGATTAAAATGAAGCACCATCATGAAAAGTGCTTCATGCTATGCTACGTGGAAAACATCAATTGCCCTTGTTGACCGGGATATCTTTCATTTAATTAGCTGAGAAAATTTATTACCACTCAATTACAGTAAACAGAATGTCTCTCCTTTTAATTCTGTTTTTATATGACCTGTGCCTCGACCCTCCGTAATTCTAGAAAGTTGTACGAAGAAAACATTGTTGAGGAATCCATAGAATGTCCTAAACGCTTGTACGCCCGAAGTCAGAACCCTTTTAAAACTAAGCCACCACCTAAGCGTCGTAAAAGAAGCAATTATTTGAGCAAGATCGAGAGCAACGTTAGTCATTTCTACAGTCTAAGCTCCTAAGATAATAAAATGACTGCATAGTTTTAGGTATTTTTTCACGCTTGGTTTGAGACTTTAGATGAATAAATGTTATAGAGCGGGGTCGAGTGGTGGTGATTATAAAATATAACCTGGTTGAAAACCTCAGTTTTTCCACATAAGTCAAAGGAAAACATGCATGGTTTGAATGTCGTTTTTCAAAATATTTATTAAAAAAACAGTTATCTGAAGAAAGAACTATGTTTCTTTCGACTATTTCTAAAATAGAAAGATATTACAGTTGGAATTTTGTTTGCTCAGAAGGATCATTAGGTATCACATCCTTTTACGATTTCTACCCGAGATACTATTGCAACGTGTGTGTTTACGTACCTGTTAGACTTACCATGATATCAATCCTGTGGTTTTTAATTATATCATTGCCAACTAGATTTTTCTTTGTTTGGCTAACCAAAAAATGCAAAAGAGGTTTTTTGTTAACCTCGGTGGCGTTACATTATTTTATATATTGTACCACTTTTTTTTCTCGTATTTTTATTATTCCTTATTTTTCAAGAATTCCCGTTGTGAACCAAAAACAAAATCTCATTTTGAATAAAAGTGGAGCAGAATCTTTAGTGAAGAAATCATAAGCGATTGGTGGTAATGGAGTAAAGTTGTACTTCAAAATGATGCAAGCTTTTATATCACAACGAACTTGCTTCGGTTGTTCAATTTTCTTATTCCTCCTGGGAACAATATTTTTATATGTACATATCTCCCGTTCTCAAAATATCCCGAACTTTTTGCGTAAACTCCCATATAATGTGACAGATTTGGGAAATTTTGTAAGTATTGGTGTTTGTAAATGTACTTTCTAACTTGACATATAAACTTCATAAAATTGTATCAATTAGGTCGGTAAGCTTTTACGCAGCAGAAGTTACCAATGTAGATTGGCTTTAATGCGTGTTGTAATAATGTTTATTTATTAATAGCATATGTTTGAGATAGTTAGATAAACTGGCTTCATCAGGTTTTCAAGTAATTACAATTATCTTTCACATAAGGTTTACTAGACTTTGAATTGTTATTTTGTTAGTGCTAACAAAGTACTCCAGTTCGAAATCCCGATACGTTCTAAGTCCTTATAGTAGGTTTTTATACTTTCTAGGTTGTTTTGGAACAACAAGAATGCCCAAAAGAAAATCCTCACGCTAGTAAGTTTGACCCTAATTTTCCTTATATTTTATTTTACAGCAAGCTTACGAGTTTGGAATTGTTTTATTCTAATCATAGCTAAAGTTTGTTGACCTCCCATAGAGAGCTTGAAACTTTATATACTATGACTGAGAAAACACTAGCTCTAAAATCAGTTCATCAGTCATACAGAACGTAAAACCTGGCACATGAGTACATCGGTTCGAGTTGTCACTACATCAGCATGTCGGTGTGTTATAGTATAAATGGTAACAATATTAGAATTGATAGAAAAAGATAGGACTCAATTCTCTAACAGTTGGTTATGATAATCACGCGAACCCTGACCAAGTAGTCTGCACCTACCTGTAAGACTCAGTTCATTAGTCGATGTCTTCGTGGACTAATCCCACACTTCGATACCAGTCCTTAGCTTTCTTCCAACCTACCCCTACACCAATCATCGTCAAAATGGTGGCAGAAGGTGGTTAATCATACATAATATAAGTTCCAACTATCTCAGTCGACGAATATTTGCAAGCTAGTTAACCAACTTGCCATCCTTGCTTAGTACTTTGTGTCTAACATCACAAAGTACATGAGCAATGCTTCGAAGGCATGTAGGATTAAATACTGGTAACCTACGAATATCCTCTGTTTCAAAGGTCACATTTCACAGCTATTAAGTAGAATTGAGCGGACTGTTGCACAGTATCTTCACCCTTTGGTAGATTAACGAACATATCGTCTATGGATCAAGTGGCGATCACCAATGGAGCTCTTTGGATCCGTTCTGAGATTTCGTCAGATACCAACCCACCAAAGCTAATGAAACTCATATGATAAGTTCAGTGGTTGACGTGCTTAATTAATTCATTCCTTATCATTAGTTGAGAAGTTGAAGCGGACTAGTAATGGGGCAGCATTTAGAGGGAAAGAAACAAATCTCAAATATTAGAATCAAATTATTGGTCTTCATCGATTAATTTTATTATCTATCGAATCCCTTTCTGTCGTATCTATGTATATGCTACCTTCAACCGTTAGACTTTCTTAAGTTTCTACGTTGTCTAGCTTTTGGCCACTTGGGCGAACTAGTGGCTTCGGTACCAGATGTAATATCCTTTAAGGTAAAGAGGATATCCTATCAATTTAATGTATGCTTTAACTATCGGTTTTGATCGTCTCCCTCTATATTTTCAGTACTCAGTTGAGAGTGATTTGCGTTGTCTATCAACTTAAATATGTATCTAGTGTCTTGTATCATTATGCATCGCATACTCCCAATGTGATCTTGCTGTCCGATTTAATGATTTTCTGAGTTTCAACTGAGGCTGTGAGGTGTCCAAAAATCGTTTATATTTATCTACTATTTGCTGAATTTGATTGGTCTTATTGCTTATTTGAAATATCTAGTTGTTCTCTCCATCAGTGTCAGTATTGTTGTTCCCTGTTATTTAACAAGGAATGAGTGTTTACTTTGCCACGTTTTTGTTCTAATTTGTTTGTCACCTCAGCTTTTTGCATGATTAACAACGATCCATCCTTTTGTTATCACTAGTTGGGCGTTTAAAAATCGAGACTAATGTACCTACTTGGGATTCCTTAATGGAGAAATATACATCATCACCCTCTCAACGTAAAATTATCCTTTCAAAAGATGGCAACTATTCACAACCCAGTTTAAACCCTGTGGTGATCCACAATGGATCTATTAGTTCCCACAATTACACCGATTCATTGGAGAAATACGTCGGATTGTGGCGTCCAAATGTATGTGATCCAACTGAAAAGCTGGCTGTTATTGTCCCGTACCGAAATCGTGATATTCATTTGCGTATGTTTTTAGGACATATGCATGCTTTTCTGCGTAACCAACTGCTTATGTATACCATTTTCGTTATAAATCAAGTTAGTTATTATTTTTAGATATGATTTCAGTTGTCTTTTGAACCCTTTTCAGAACTTTCAACTATATTTTTCAATCACTGTTATCATGGTAATGTACTTTTGAATCATTTTGCTTATATATTGCCTCAATTTGGAACTCCACACTAAAGGTCACGGTTAGTGTGTATACTACATATTTTAAGAGCATTTACAAAGTCCATCCAATGTTATTCATTATCTTTGGGTTCATTTCCTTGTACTTGAAGCCATTTCTGTCAGGTCTAATGGTAATACTCAGTTGCCTAGACCGAAGTAGCTGGAGCAGGGATTACACTTACTACCTAGTGGTTAACACTCAAGAGTAAATACCAAGCTATGAAGCTGGAAAATTTGTGCTTCTTGCTCCAAAAGTGGGTTTTGACATCGGTTGGACCATAGTTTCTGTAAATGTACATTAAAATTGATGAGAAAAGGCAAGATGATCATTCTCAACACCCACATTTAAGGTTCCGGTAACAAAGATGTTTTCGTGTTGTGTTTGGTAAATTCTCATCTTATGTTCTTTTTCTTGGGTTACGGTCCATTTTCTGTTCCCACAGGATTGTGGTTTTTTTCGTAAAGATATTATACTCTATGGCTGTTAATAGGTATAGTAATATATTACTTTTACTAACCCCAAAGTGTGTTGATAGGTTAATCCTGTTGATTGACGTTCGTGGTATTTACGAAACATGCACTAAAATAGTACATTGTTACTGAAAGCAGAGTTTTAATATATACTAGGTCATTTGTTTGACATGAATGATTATAGATTGCAACAAAATCGATTTCTTACCAACAGAGTGTTGTAGCAGTATTTGAATCAACAGCATCTTCCTTATTTAGCGTTGAAACAATAATGGAGTTTCTTTATTGATGGTTCACCTCACTCCCAATAGACGTTTTTCGGTATTCAAGCGAAGTAACAATAAAGACTACCATTTTTCACTCTAGGCTGTTTACGTATGTGTTTCTATTGTGGAGATTAATCATGAAATAACCAAGGTTGTAGTATTGCTAAAGTCTTCATTTTCTACTTATAAATACATGTTTAGGACGGTGAAACTCATTTCAATCGTGCCCTTCTTCTGAATGCTGGGTTTATCGAGTCGAAACGGGTTACAAATTTTGACTGCTTCATATTTCATGATGTGGATTTATTGCCTGAAGACGATCGAAATTTATATCGTTGTACCAACCAACCGAGACACCTATCTGTTGCTGTGGACAAGTTTAACTACCGGTCAGTGCTTATATTTAAACTCCTAGACTTTTAAATTTTGAATTTGTTCAGTTGGTAACATTCTTCAATAAATAAGAAAGTTGATTCAATACTTTAGTCGAGGAAGTCATATCGTATGAATTAGGACAGTTTATACTTCTAACCAACTTCCAAATAAACTTGGTATTTATATAACTTTTACATCGTTAGACTTTACTCAAGGAATTATCAGCTTTCTACCTAGTTACGGTGAATTTTTGGGACCCACCTGTTTAAGACCCTAACTAGAATGCAGTTCACCAACCATCTATATTTCAGCTGTGAGCTTCATATTGTAAATGCATTCATGGATAGATTCCAATACTTCAACTCAGATTCACACTTGTAAGTTCTGTCGACCATTATTTTAGCATAAATAATAATCTAACAATAAGGACCATCCAGGATGTATAAAAATGATAGTATGAACAAGCATAAAAGTAGTGATTCCTTAAAAATGAAGTGTAAATTAATTTAATAAGTTGAAATACGTATATTTCTAAAAAAAACACAAGTACCAGACGGTTTACCGCTGGACTTAAATTCCATACATAGATTTATCGATGCACCATATTACCTGGTCAATGCGGTATCAATTTTAGTGACTATATAAACTACTCTATTACTTCGAAGCAACTGCATTATGGTAGACAACTGTCATTACAGAGAACTGAATCCAAGTTGTAGAGTCTTTTCGTATTTTGTAACCAAATCCTGAAACTTCTAATTTCCAAGAGTTAGGAAAATTGTGATCTATTTTACTACTGTCATAATTTGGGGGTAACTGGAATATATCTAGTTATTGACTAGACGGATGCCTTTTCATGACAAACAAGAATCAAACATGTTTATGCGTGATGTGTTTGTTTTTTTTCTCAATAAAGCTACCCAAAATTTTTGCTAAATAACTTTATTCACATGAATTTATTATTTTTTAGTCTTCCTTATCTTACGATTTTTGGCGGAGCTGTGGCGTTCACCAAGAAACAGTTTGAAAAGGTTGGTGGATTTTCAAATATGTATTTTGGATGGGGTGGAGAAGATGACGATTTATACGCTAGAGTAGTCTATCATAATTACAGCGTTATGCGTTACCCTGAAGAAATCGCTCGTTACAGAATGATTAGTCATAAGAAAGACTCAAGTAATCCGGTCAATCCTAAACGGTATGTCTTTCCCAATCCTCATACTTAAGAATTCGTTTTTGTAATATACACTTGCTCATTGTTGTTTTTTATCTAAGATATTTAAAATAATCTATTAAGTATCGCACAGTATTGATAGTAATATTAGTCCCAAATGAGTATTCAGAAGTAATTGAATTTATCATCGAATACCTACCATATTCATGTATAAACCAGTCTATTTTATTTCTTCGTGTGCTCGTCTCCATACATAAATGTCAGTGTTTGTAGATCGACCAACTAAGTGTTTCAGACTATTGATAGATTATAGCTGACAACGACGACTATATTTAGTAACTGCTCCCCAGCTATGTGACCTGCTAAGTGGCCTCACAAGTCATTTCGAAAAGACCATTTATCTTCCCAATATCAGGTCCATTTTCAGTTGCATTAATACCTGAATCACTATTATTACAGAACTCTCTGTATATTGGCAATATTCTGCTCGAAAGTCTGATATCATCTGATTATTCGTCACAGAAAATTATAAACTACACATAATATACTTCGTATTTTAAATGCTAACGTTTGGTGCTAACTAAATAGTGCGTTGGTTAGTGTTTCTGCGATGGAAGTTCGATAAAAGTAGTTAAATACGACCAACCTGAATGACAAATGTTTTTCGGCACACTAACCTCTGTATAATTAGTGACTACAACCCATCGATTTTGTGTTTTCCGCAGTGAATTTTGTGGATTCTCATTGGTTATTCACCGATTCCTTTGATTGTAGCTAGTGATCGTTTATTCTGGTTTATTACGTAGGGCATTTTAAATAGAATGAAATTGGTAACTTGTAAAGAGTCTTATTTTGGTAACCGGTTCCTGCTATTCATTATATCATTGTGGAGTAACGGTAAACTTTACTGTTTTAAAATGTACTGAAAAATTGAAACAAATCTAATATTCATAAGCAGGACTATTCACTGTGTAATATTGTCGGGGTCCAACATAGAATATCCGTTGTGAATTTCAAAATTACATTTTTACCTCTTTCATTTTATTCGTGTGAAAATATCCTTTTTTTGATGGAATACTCAAATTTCAAGGGTCTTATTCGATTATTTGAATCCTTATGCTAATGTAGAAAAATAATTTCGTGAAATGTCTAACATTTTTGTGCAAATAAGTAGTTTTCATTTATGTGTTTCACACTCGGTGATATTCTTTGGTTTTACGGTTTTTGTTATTATTGTCGACTTACTGATAAGCTGGGTAGATATAATCACATATGCTTTCAAATTTGTAAACGTGCTTGTAATCTCAGGCATCACTGGACTCATCAACTAGTGAAATGAAATGGATGGCTTTTGTGCACGTTATATTTGATCGAATTAAAGAACAATTATGTCAACAGGACTTTTTTGAAACTCAGTCGCTGCATATAATAGGATCACCATACAAGGCTCCAGTGGACGGATTCTGTAAAAACAGTATGTTTTCTGGCAAAATGAAATGTTATCAAATATAAAAATTCGTCATGAAAACTGTACTTCCATTCTCGATTTAGAGATCACCTTTCATGTTTATACTGTGGCTAAGGAGGTAGCCTAGTGAGTAATGATACGCAGGTGTTTTAGTTACTAACTACAATTCCCAACGACATATTTTAAATTAACGAAAAACATTGTGAACAGAAAAGTGAACTTTGTATCTCTTCACGTTATCTCACTTATGCTACTGCTACGTCTTTAAAGGTAATAACTACTAACTTATTACCTAATTTTTTTGGTACCCATACCTTAAATACTGTCAAAAAGATTTCATGTAGCCAGATAATAAGTTCGCTGTACTGTACCTGTTAATGCTGAATAGATGCTTAACTCCGTTACCTATAAAGTACTGCACCTTTGCCTGAGTCTAGATATGTATATTTCTTCCTATCACCCGATTGGATTACGAGATAACTTACTAAATATGTAGTAAGTTTACAAAATGAAAGCAGGTTTTTGTAAAGTAAATCTTTCCCTCTTAGGCATTTAATGTTCATTGTCTGATTTATTACTTCTGTAACTGTGGAGTGCCTTGTCTTATTATTTAGGATTTTAATATCATTACATTACATCAATATTTATTTTATGAAGGTCTATTAGAATGTAATTGTGAACAATTTCAACTAATCGTGTAAAATCTAAGTTAGTAAATCAGCATTGGTAATTCACAAACAAGCTACACTTACAATTTTTACCAGGCAATAATCTGAGAAATCTGTTTTCGATCCATGAACGGTGGTTATTGTAATCATTACGATACGTTTCACATACTGTTTCATAAACGTTTATAAAATCGAATCAAATGACTGCCGTTATGAATGGCTATTGGCCCTGCAAAGTAGATTTGTTGTATAAAGCTTAAACTTTGACAAATACGTATCCATTCTAATAATTACGTACCATCTTCGCACCACAACTACTGCATGTTAGTCACATTATCCACCTACTGAGACTTTAATAAATAATACATTCTTTAAAAACATGTACTTAAACCACCAATTTTTGACTTATTCCGAGTACTTTTCTAGGAGTATCATGATCTTTGTAACTGCAGTCATAGGGCATTTTCCCTATTGTTTTTTTTATGTGTACTTTTTTACACAGTAACGAACTTCTGAAGGATGCATCAAGTCGCTTTAAAACAGATGGTTACTGGAATGCGAATTATACGCTACTGGAGTCTTACCCTGCTCACAATGGCCTGTTTTATTGGGTGTCGATCACTCCATAAATGGGTGAGAAGATTCAGCACATTCCGATTATTTGTGTTGTAAGTTAAATTCTTTTAGATCTTATCTATAATCTAATACTAAACTCATATAGTCAACATGATTTTAACTCACAAAATTGCTTAACACATTTGTTAAGGTATCCAAAATCTTAAACCCTGTATTTTCATTTTGAATTATTTTTGGTATGCAGTAAAAGTGTATAATTGTGTAAGGGTTTAAGTTTTCTCGTTGTTGATACTAAGTTCAGAACTTGATTAATTTCTTTTTCATATATGTGTATGCGGATCACTAAGTTGGGTGGTATAATAGTTTAGTGAAGTTCATAAATTGTGTGATAATTAGAGAGATGAATGGAATTGAATAATGATAAGGTAGATTATGTAATAATAATTAAATAGATAATAATTAAATGGATGCTCACTGCTGAGGAGTCCCATACCAGGACGAAACGGCCGTCCAGTGCTTCCAGGTTTTCAATGGTGGTCTAGCTTCAACTGACTCATGATTTCAACCTGTGAGAATTCGAAAAGTTAAGATAATTTAAGAGGATCAGGTGGTGGAAATGTGTGAATAATAATGTGGTTTAAGAATTATGTAATAGGGGAGGAGTATAAATATTTTAAAATAAATGAATAAAATAACCCAAATAACCAAAACACACACAAAAAGGGGGTTACCAGGGTAGTGATAATTTTATTCAATTCTCTTTTTCAATGCATAAATCCGGTTTAAGTTTTTTTTATCGCAATCGCTTCAGCGAAACGAAGAGTAGTCACAATTGATTGATCACTGGGTGGTGATCAATGTCATGCTTGTCTAGTCCTTATTAGTGCAGATCGAATACTATCGATCATGTTGCAATGTGGCCAACAGTCTAGGTGACTCGACACTGCGGGCACTATGTATTGAGATAAGATGGTGGTTGGAGGTAGTCAACAGGAAACCCTGGACCCGGGTTTCGTGCTACTTGGCACTCGTCAGCAAGGTGTACCTGTAATCATGAGGGAACTGGTGCTCCCTGGCGGATTCGATCTCGTGTCACCCAGCTTCACAGTCAAAGACGTGATCACTGAGCTATCCGAGCCGTGACTAACCTCTTGTAGGACTGAGATGTAATCACAATTGATTGGTCACTGGGTGGTGATCAATGTCATGCTTGTCTGGTCCTTATTAGTGGAGATCGAATGCTATCGATCGATAGCATTCGATCTGCCGTAAGTTTTACTTCTGGGTAGGCCACTTTCAAGACAGAATTTAATCTGTGATTAATTAATCCGGCAATTTCATCTCCTTTAAAACGTAAATGTAAGAAGCAAGTTCTCTTTTCTACTCCATCATACTTTGTCTGAGGATTGGTTTTTGCATATTTCTGGATGAATTTCAACGGGTATGCATTTTCAGGTAGAACATTAGTGATGAGAGTAATTTCGTCATCAAGGCATTCCTTTGAATAAATTTTGCGAGCGCGGTCAAAAAGGGTTCGTAAAATACCCTTTTTGTAACTCATTGAGCAGAAACTATGGTAATTGAGATATAGACCACTCCAAGTGTTTTTGTGATGAATATTTTTCAAAGGAGATGAAATTGCCTATATATATTTATCATTGTAATCCCGTTATTTATACTCATTTATGTCAATTGTTCCACACTATCTCAATGTAAAAAATTCTATCACATTTTTGGTTTGTAAACAGCCGACGAGAAACCTCGAAATATTTTGAATTCATACTATTCTGCATCAACGTTTGTTCTTGTTCCATTTAAATTCATAAAGAGAACCAATTGTATGAAATTATTTCTGTCTGTTTGTGAATAATCGATTATTTTAAAGCCGTGACCTTTCATAAGTATGGTTAGTATTTCCGAAATCTGAGTTTCTAACTTTAAAGTTTTATGTTGTCCTCAGTCAACTGTTTCTTGATTGAAAAGGCACCTTTGGTATGCATGTAGAAAGGGTTGTTTGTCTTTGATGTTTTTGACTGAGGATTTTGTAATTCGAACTATAGATGTTGGATATAGTGTGCTTTGGTTTGGTTCTGAACTTCTCACTTTGCGACTGTAACTTTACCAACAAATTCATCAGCCAGCCAGTCAGTCAGCTACAATGTAGGACCAGGCACATATGTGCATCGGTCCAGGTTGCCATACCGCATCAGCACAACAAGAGGAACACCGGATTCATAGCAGTGGTTAGGTCAAAGGTGGTAATATATAAGAGAGAGATTGCATATAGAGATATATTACAAGAAGAAAGAATTGGTTCGGAGAAAGAAAGATATGAAGTGATTTTAATCTCTTAGTTTAAGGGAAGACAGGGAGTGTATACACCGACGCCATTGTAATCGATTCTGAGCCATGTCACCAAGAGTCTCCAACCATTGGTTACGATAGTCACGCGGACCCCAACCAAGTAGTCTGCATCTACCAACATGGCTCAGACTAGAAGTTAGTGACTTCAAGCACTGATGCCACGTTTTGGTTTGGCCGCCCCTAACTTTCTTCCAACCATTTCCAATACCGGATAGCATTGCACGTCGTGGTAATCGGTGTTCAGGCATACGTAACACGTGGCCCAACCATCTCAGCCGGTGAGGATTCATAACCTCATCAAGTGATTTACCATCATTCCCTAATACCCTGCGTCTAACCTCACTATTACTTACGCGGTGATCCCAGCAGACGCCAGCAATATTTCTAAGGCATCTGTGGTCAAATACTAATAGCTTACGAGTGTCTTCTACTCTGCCGTAAATTAAAACAGAACGGACTGCCGCGCAGTATACTCGTCCTTTTATTGATAGACGGATATCTCGTCTTCGCCATAGGTGACGCAAGTTGGCAAAAGCCAATCGAGCTTTTCGAATCCGTGCTGAGATTTCGTCCGATGCCAACCCATTAGGGCTGATCAGACTTCCAAGATAAGTGAAGTTGTCAACGCGTTCGACTACTTCACTTCCTATCCTTAGTTCAGGTGTTAACGCAAACCAGTCCTGAAGCAACAACTTGCATTTAGAGGGAGAGAAGCGCATTCCAAACATTCTGGCATTGTTGCTTAGTGCTACCAAAAGACTTTGCATTTTGTCAGCGTCTTCATAGTCTTACTATTATATTGTGTTAATTATTTTTTAGGACTTTACGTATTCTATAGAAAGATTTGAACAGTCCATTCGAAGTTCTTTTTCATCTGATATCAAAGCATTGAATAAACTCTTTCTTCAGGTTAAATAAATGATTTTGTTTTTTTGTTTCTTAAACTAGTCCTACATTTAATTAGAGCTTCATACTTTTTCTTAATATTTTCCGTCATTTAGGTCATAGAATACTCCGTATACGAAGATCACATCGTTCACCGAATTCCCCATGATTTTTTTATTCAATGACTTTTCCTACTTCTACTTTCGTTTTGTCCAGTTTCCATAATCTTTTCCAACTATTATTTTAGATTTTGTATATTTTACACAAAATGCTGTTCCATTTTACTCAACGACTAATTTCTGGATTCATAATTTTTTTAAAACAAATTAGACAATCTGTTCCATTGATAAAAAGGTAGTTACTGTTCAATTTTAAAGATCTTCATTGTATGCCATAGCAACAGGAGCATTGCAAAAAAAAATCTGTTTCCATGATCATCAGATAAGACTAAATTCTCCATGGATTTGTTTCTGTTACTTGTATAGTTGTAGGATTTTTCTTTGATAGATTAACATTATCAACATAAACAGCCAAAACTTATAATTGGCAATTTGATCGGAAATATATTGAAAAAGCGATTGGTCAAATGTAAGTTGATTGATTGTAATATCGCTGAGTATTAACTTGTTAATTTATTGTAAACAATTAATAATCAGTATTTTCTATGTTTAAAAAATATCAACGTTGAATTGTGGAAGAAATTTGAACAAGATTGATGGTGTTTAATATTAGTTCAACGTTTAAAATACATTATCTTACAGTTGGAATATGAATTTACTCAAAACCTTTGCCTTTTTTCTACACAGGTCCAAATTAATGGCTCTTATAAATATTCAATCAGCTTCATTATTTATTATTCTTGATTAAATTAACTCAAATTCAACTCTATTTAATATGCTTAACATAAAATATAACAATGTTAGACATTAACACCGTTGGATGCCGGCCGGCTCAGTGGTCTAATGGTTAAGTGCTCGTGCGCGAAGCCAGTAGGTCCTGGGTTCGAACCCCGCGTGGTGCGGGGTCGTGGATGCGCACTGCTGAGGAGTCACATACTAGGACGAAACGGCTGTCCAGTGCTTCCAGGTTTTCCATGAGTGTCTAGCTTCAACTGACTCATGATCTTAACCATTGAAATTACTACAATCTCGACAAAACCCATCTGATATTAAAAATGTTAAGTTAAGAATTTTTATGTCAATATCTATCTGTTGACCTTCGTTGTTAATAGAAATATATCACTGAATGTACTTTATTGTTGTCTATCACAACACATTCTTTTCTAATTAACCATATAAGGTGAACTATATTCAATTGTGGTGTGAGCACAATATAATTCTTCTTCTTCTTTCTAATTATGCGCCTTTGTTTACGTGACCATTATTCACCCACGCAAACGGAATCAATATGAATGGCATTAGCACTTTTGTAGTTAAAAAGAAGAATAAACTTTGATAAAAACAAATACTTTGGCGGTGTTAGTTCAATAGACATTTTTGCTTCAGCTATACGTGCAAAATAATAACTATTAGCCATCTAATTCTAATTCAGTTGAATGGTCATTTTCACAAAGAACCTCTTTGTTTTCTTGTGTTGCTGTGAATAATCCTGATTCGTCCAGACTAGACTAGTTATTACATTCTGTGTACATTATCAACGTAAATATAATGAAGACTCTTTCAGAAGGGATTTGGTAGATACTTTAGAAATTTCACTGATTGAAATCATGAGCCAATCGGAGGTAAACCATCATGTAAAACCTGGAAGCACTGGACGTCCGTTTCGTCCTAGTACAGGACTCCTTCGTTTGTACTGAGGTAGACACCAGTTTCTACTTTGTGGATTGGTTGAGGTTACACATTATCACGCGTGAGACTGAAGGCGTAGGGTTCGTATCACGCGAGGTGCGGGATTGTGGATGCACACTGTCGAGGAATCGCACAATAGAAGGAAACGGCCGTCCATTGCTTCCAGTTTCTCAATAGTGGTCTAACACCAATCGGTTCATGATCCCAGTCAATAACTTAATAATCTTCACAACACTATACCGATGAGTTTAAGGAAATTTCACTACATAATAATATCATTTGATGTTTACGATGGTCATTAATTTAAACTCAGTTGTTGGGACACCATACTAATATGTAATTAAACACATCCCTTCTTCGTTATTGTTTGCTTATTGAAAGCTCAATGACAAATTACAGTTAATACAGTATTATGAATACGGATTGTGGAAAGAACTTTAGATAGCTAAGCAAATACTCAAGTAGAACTGTGAAAAGTGTAGGTTGAATAAAGTAGTAATAGTTTGGCCATAGCCACTGTTCAATAATATGATAAATAAATTGTAGTGTCCCAATTGTACTGGTTATTTCAATCTTCTCGTTGATGTAAAGAACTGTTGTTGGCCAGTCTTTTCATCGTAAGTTATAAGCAACAGAAGCAGAAACGGGTGGTGGCTAGCAGTGGAATATCACTTTATCCCATTTATACTCACCAGGTTGGTGTACTTGCATCACAGAGTTGGTGTTCACTCTGAGACTCAAAATCAGTACCGTTTACTGTAAACATCGTGTTATCTCATCAGCTAGTAAATGTAGATAAACATTGAATCATAAAAACTGTTTCAGAGATGAATATTTGGGTGAGCACTGACTTGGTAAATTGGATTTTTAGAAATCATTTCCTCATCATGTTGTTGAATGCTTTGATTGTGACAAAATTGGACATATTAAGTTAGTGTGTAAGACTACTGTGAGTGTTCATTGTTGAGAGGTCTCATGCTAGAACATGCCGGCTATCAAGTTCCTCTAGTATTTCAATGGTGGTCCGACTTAGATCAATCATCACTTTAATGAGTTCAGTTCTCCTTCGGATAATGTTCTAATGATTGCGAATTCTTGTGTTCTCATTTGCTCAATTGTATTCAAAAAGGTATAAAACGTATATTAAGATCTGCTTTCTATTAAAAAGACTGATTCGTTTGTTTGTTTCTTTATAACTGATGAAGAATCAGTGTTGTAATTGACATCGTTTGTTGAGGAGTAGCAACATTATTTTGATTAGTAGAGTGAAATAATCGGACAGACATGTAGAACATGCGAAGTGCAATTCAGTCTACTTTGACGAAAGTGCTGATATGCACTAACTAATCACATAGTAGTATGCAATATCATGTTTTTCTGGCTCTCAGTTCTGACTAAACCTCATCTATCGAGTTGAAAATGAAGTCTGGTAGTACAGGTGTTCAGTTGTGGGACGAGTATTTCACGGATAAGTTGCCAAACTGTGAAATTGTATGACACGACTTCTCATCAAACAGTAAACATCAACACTCTTGATATTCTAGTTATCTCTTAAAGAGAAGTGTCAACCAGCATGAAACTAGTGTTCAAACATTGCTGTCATCCAACATTAACTACTTAACATATACTAAGTAATTGCAGGATGATCTCCTTACACGCCATCACTAAATTACATGTTCTCATTATGTTTCATATACATAGTGCCTAGTGGAACGCAAATGTCTGTGCTATTCATTACAGTAACAGTTGCAGCCATTAATAATTTCTTTGATTCGTTTAACTACTGTTGTCTAGTAGTTCAATGATGAATATTGGGATGATAGAGAGCATTTGTCTCCTAACATATGCCGTAAACGTAAATATTTCGCTTGCACCCTTTGAGCAACGACAGTAATGAAGAGCTAAACACGGAATAAGTTGGATGAATACATGTTGACTACTTCACTCCCTATCCTTAGTTCACGTGTTGATGCAGACCAGTCCTGAAGCAACAATTTGCATTTAGATGTGAAGAAGCTCATCCAAAACATCCTGACACTGTTGTTCAGTGCTATAAAATGGTCTGCATTTTATCAGCATCTTCACCAAACCTGACTATGTCATCTGCGTATTCTCATTCAATAAGTAGTAACCCTGGTGGAAGATTGATTCTTGAGTAATCAGTAGACGAAAACCTCATTTCCTGTAGTAAGTCTTTGATGGAATTAGAAAGAAATGGAGATAGCAGGAAGCGTGATCGGACACCACCTGAGTTTGTGAAATCATATGGCAGTTTGACATAAGCTCTGACTCGACTGGTGGTGTTCGTGTAATGGCTCTTCACAAAGTTCATGTATTTCCGTGGTACGCATTTTAATAACAAACACTGCCACAGAGCGTCTCGGTATACAGAGTTAAATGCTGCTTTGAAGTCAAGACAAACCACTATTGTCAGATGCCGATAAACACGTCTGCGTCTCGAGATCTGACAGATGTTGAATATTTGGTCGATGTAATAACTATCAGTTCCGGAGTCAGCCTGATTTTCTAGTGCTTGCAGTCCGCCAGTCTTGTTTCGGTGACCATTAATTATTGAGGCTAATATTTTAGATGATATATTAATTTAACTAATCTCAAAGTCGTCCAACATGATTATTGGACATAGATTGTCAACTTTATTACGGTTTGCCGAACATTTTAAACTCCGCCCTGGGCGTCAGAAGGTCTTCATTTAGAAGAACTATGACGCCTCATGATGAAAGCAGAATTCCTTCGTAAGTTACGAGGCCGATGCTCCTTCTGACTAGCAGAGCAATCATTTATTAAGGTACATGGAATGTTCGTACAATGTGGGACACCGAGAGAGCCTTCCAAATTGCTGCAAAATGAGGAGTTACAACCTTGACGTGCTTGGGATCAGTGAAACACATTGGACGCAAGTTGGACAACAACGACTGGCTTCAGGAGAGCTACTGTTATACTCCGGCCATGAAGAAGAAAATGCCTTCCATGATCTACTCAATGGGGAATGAACTACTATGGAGAGCAACTGGAAGGGTATCAAAGAGGCAATCACTTCAACATGCCATGAGGTCCTGGGCCACAAGAAGCACCATCACAAGGAATGGATCACTGTTGATACACTGGATAAGATTCAAGAAAGGAGGAACAAGATGGTAGCAATCAATACCAGTCGAACAAGAACAGAAAAAGCCAAGGCACAAGCTGAATACACAGAAGTAAACAAGCAAGTGAAGAGGAGCATCAGAACCGACAAACGTAAATATGTGGAAGATTTAGCAACGACGGCGGAAAAGGCTGCAAGAGAAGGAAACATGAGAGAACTGTATGACACGACAAAGAGACTCTCTGGAAATCGCCGCAAACCAGAATGACTGGGGATAAACAAGGAAGGCGGGGTAATCATCAACATTGAAGAGCAACAGAACAGGTGGGCAGAACACTTCAAAGAACTCTTGAATCGACCAGCCCCACTGAACCCACCCAACATCGAAGCAGCACCCACGGACCTACCAATCAATGTTGGCCCACCAACAATTGAAGAGATAAGCATGGCCATCAGACAAATCAAGAGTGGCAAAGCAGCAGGACCAGACAACATTCCAGCAGAGGCACTAAAAGCAGACGTAGCGGCGACTGCAAGGATGCTCCCCATTCTCTTCGATAAGATTTGGGATGAGGAACAAGTACCAACAGACTGGAAAGAAGGACTACTTATCAAAATACCGAAGAAAGGCGATCTCAGCAACTGTGATAACTACAGGGGCATCACTCTTCTCTCAATACCGGGAAAAGTCTTCAACTGGGTATTGTTAAACAGGATGAAGGACTGCGTAGACGCCCAACTTCGAGACCAACAGGCAGGATTCCGTAAGGATAGATCGTGTACAGACCAAATCGCAACTCTACGGATCATTGTGGAACAATCAATTGAACGGAATTCATCACTCCACATCAACTTCATTGACTACGATAAAGCATTTTACAGTGTGGACAGAACAACACT